CTGCCCTCCCTCCGTGTGCTGCGTCGCCTCTTGCGTTTCGCAGCTGTCCCGTGATAGCCAGCGGTCACTGAGGGGTTTCAGTCCGCCAGGCGTCAAGCTGGGGGTCTCCCGCAGTAAATCCGCCTGCAACGGAAGCTGGCTGGTCATCGAGATGCAAACCCATCTTTTCCCCGATACTCGGGGGCTGTCAGGGGAGTCGTTTAGAAACGGTCCCTGCGATGTTCATTCAGTAAGAGGCCGCTTGAGCGCCTGTTTGGGGTCAAGAGCTCAGATGCATCGTCACGTTAAACTTTCACAGTCAACTTCTTGAGCACTTTTCTCTAGCTAATTACTAGCAGTAATTGAAAAGCCCAGGTAGGTGTCACCTCCCTCCCGTAAGCCTACCCCAACCCCTCTCACCCCTTCACCCTTCACCCTCCTGAGGGTCCTGGGTACTCTGGATTTATGTGCTTTTTTGTGCATTTCCTCACAAGATGGACGTTCCTCCTCCATATCCAAGGGCTTCGTGTGTAGTTGGGATTCGGCGTACATGTGAGTTACATAATGACTGGTTTTTCCTCGCCACCATTAATCTTTCTAGGTTTTAGTGAAACCTAAGCATAGCACACCTTTGTTTTCTTTCTCTCCATCTCTGACCCCACCCCTAGCAGCCTAGGCCAGAGGACCATCCTCTGTCCCTTAAATCTCTGTGCCAGCCTCCTTCTGATAGCTCTGTTTCTGCTCTTGGTCATTCCCAGTACATCGAGTGATTTTACCTTTTTCGTTTCCAAGTACCAAGTGATTTTTTTTTTTTTTTGAGTTGGAGTCTCACTCTGTCGCCCAGGCTGGAGTGCAGTGGCACACTCCCGGCCACCGCAGGCAGCCTCCATCTGCTGGGCTTCAGCAATCCTGCCGCCTCCGCCTTCCAAGTACCTGGAACTACAGGCATGCGCTACCACGCCCAGCTAATTTTTTGATTTTTTGATTTAAATTTTTCATTTTTAAAAAAGATCACTTTGGAGCTGGGTGACGTGTCCCATGTCTCTAAAACCCTGTGACCAGGGAGGCTAAGGTAGGAAGACTGCTTGAGCCTAGGAGTTCCAGGCTGTAGTGAGCTATGATCCATCACTACACTCCAGCCTGGGTGAAAGAGCAAGACTGCATCTCTTTAAAAATAAGTAGGTTGGGCTCAGCGGCTCAGCCTGTAATCCCAGCGCTTTGAGAGGAGAGGCTGAGACAAGAGGATTGCCTGAGCCCGCAGGTTCGAGATTAGCCTGGGTAACATGGTGAGACCTCATCTATATAATAAAATAAAAAATAGTGAGTACCTGTAGTTCAGCTACCTGGAAGGTTGAGGCAGAAGGATTGCTGGAGCCCAGCAGGTTGACGCTGGGGCAGCCGTGAACGTGCCACTGCACTCCAGCTGCACAAACAGTGAGAGTCCAACTCAAATAATAATAATAATGTTGAGTAAATAAAATAAATAAAATATAAAATTAAAAAGTCTGGACGTGGTGGCTCACACCTATAATCCCAGCACTTTGGGAGGCTGAGGTGAGAGGACTGCTAGAGCCCATGGGTTCTAGACCAGTCTGGGCAACATGGTGAGACCTCATCTCTACAATAAATCAAAAACTAGCCGGGTGTGGTAGCGTGCGCCTGTAGTTCCAGCTACTTGGAAGGCTGAGGTGGAAGGATCGCTGGAGTCCAGCAGGTCAAGGCTGTGGTGGCCCTGAGCGGCCACTGCACTCCAGTCTGGGTGACAGAGTGAGACTCCAACTCAACAAAAAACAACAAAAAAAAGTGCATGCATGAGTGCAGTGTCTCACGCCTATAATCCCAGCACTTTGGGATGCCGAGGCGAGAGGATTGCCTGAGCCCAGGAGTTTGAGACCAACCTGGACAACTTGGGGAGACCTTGTCTCTACAATAAATCAAAAAATTAGCTGGGCGTGGTGGTGTACACCTGTGGTTCCAGCTACTTGTAAGCCTGAGGTGGGAGGATTGCCTGAATTGAGCAGGTTAAGGCTGCAGTGGCCGTGAGTGTGCCACTGCACTCCTGCATGGGTGACGGAGGGAGACTCCAACTCAAAAAAAAAAAGTGCATGTCTTATCATAGCACCCGTCCACTTGGAAAGTAATTCCTCGGTGGTCTTTTCTTGGTTTTAGCATAAAGACCAAAGAAGGTCCTCCCGTCTGGCTCTTTCCCAGGATGTTGGCCGTATTTCTGTTGCAGCCACAATGCTGTTCCTTCTGCCTGGCATTCTCTCTCCTCTCCTCCCTCTTGCCTGTAAATTCCTAGTTCAGCTCAAAAGTTGCTACCTCAGGGTTACCTCTTGAGATTCTCAGTCAGATCAGGTCCCCTTCATAGACCTTTCCACTGTTGTGTTAGGTGGAGCCATAAGGCATTTTCTATCTTTGATCTTTTAACCTGCAAAATTGGCCGTTTGATATATTTGAAACTACTGATTGACTAATTGTGAAGCGAATTGTTGGAGTCTGTTTCCAGCTCTGTGAAGGTGGGGACTTGCATCTTGCGTTTTGTTCCTTGCATCCCTGGGACCTAGCACAGGCTCTTGTATATTAAATATTTATTGGATAAATGAGGAAATGGAGCGGTGTGTTCTAGCATTTACTCCAATTTCTTAAGACTTAAGTTCATTCTTTCTCTTATATCACAGTCTCTCTTTATGTTTCCATTATATCATTTGCTGAACAGCATCCGCAACTGCAACGACAATTACTTTTTTTTCCCTACTTTTGTAACGTCAAATTTGGACGTAAAACTTTCAGAAGTTGGTTCAGATCTGACAGAGTGGCTCCCTGCATTTGGCCCTTGGTCCTCATGTCAGCAAGCACCTTTTGAGATACCAGTGGCTCTTAAAATAAGCAGATTCTCTCTCTGCCTGGCATGGTTAGAGAAGTAACTTTATGGAATGAATGAGAGTTTTCTTTGTTATATCTCCTCCACACACACTTGTTTGCAGGCCTTTGAGTACATTGAAGGTGCTCTGTGTTCAGAACAGTGGTATTTTAAACAGATGTAGATAGAGTCAAGGGACTTAATATTGATTTTTGAGAGTGATCTTGGGCAAAACTTTCATCCCTCCTTATGCCCTTGTGTGTTTTATGAGTGTAGTGAAGTGGTAATCTCTGCCATTTTTACCTCTTTACAACACAACAAAAGACAAAAGGACTTTTTTTTTCTTGGGGGCGTTCCCACTGTGTTGCATAGGCTACAGTGCAGTGGCAAGATCTTGAGTAGCTGCAGCTCTTTGACCTCCTGGGCTCATGCAAACCTCCCACCTCAGCCTCCTGAATAGCTGGGACTACAGGTGCATGCTACCACACCTGGCTGATTTTTTTTATTATTTTTTATAGAGACGGGAGCTTTCTGTGTTGCCCAGATTGGTCTCGGACTTCTGGGCTCAAGCAGTCCTCCCATCTCGCCCTCCCAAAATGCTAGGGTTATAGACATGAGCCACCATGCCTGGTGACAAGAGGGTTTCTACAAAGCTTTGAACTTTAGGGTTGAAACTTAAAAATTTCTTCAGACTAGTTTTTTTTTTTTTTTTTTTAGTCTCACTGTCTTGCCCAGCCTGAAGTGCAGTGGCACACTCACGGCCGCTCTAGCCTCAACCTGCCGGGCTCATCCTTCTGCCTCAGCTTTCCAAGTGACTAGAACCACCGGCACATGCCACCATGCCCTGCTAGTTTATTTATTTATTATAGAGACAAGGTCTCGCCAAGTTGCCCAGGCTTGCTGTTCTTGAACCCTTGGGCGCAGGCAATCCTCTTTCCTCTGCCTCCCAACATGTTGGAATCACAGACGTAGGCCACTGCACCAGCCAGGAATCAACATTTCACACCCACCAGTCCTTACTCCCAGCGGCGGGTATGGTTTTTTTGTTGTTTTGTTTTCTTTTTTTTTTTTTTTTTTAATTTTAAAGATATAGGGTACAATTCAGGATTGGGTATACAAGTGATCATCATATAGGTGGGCCTTCCTTCCGTCCCCACACGGTATGTTTTTCTTGGGATTGTTTATCCCTTAGAGGGATCTTTATTTTTTTATTTTATTTTTATTTTTTATTTTTTGAGTTGAAGTCTCACTCTGTCGCCCAGACTGGAGTGCAGTGGCCGCTCCCGGCCACCGCAGCCCGACCTGCTGGGCTCCGGCGATCCTTCTGCCTCAACCTTCCAAGTAGCCGGAATTACAGGCGCGCGCTACCACGCCCGGCTGAGTTTTTGATTTATTGTACAGATGAGGTCTCGCTGCCCAGGCGGGTCTCGAACCCGCAGGCTCAGGCAATCCACTCACCTTAGCCTCCCAAAGGCGCGGGATTACAGGCTGAGCCACTGAGCCCGGCTTAGAGGGATCTTTAAATGGAAACAAAAGAGGCACAGTCAGTCCATGACCATTTTAGAGAAACTAGAAATTATATCTAAAATTATAGCAACATTATTTCAAAGATAATTGTTTTTTGAGTTGGGGTGTCACTCTGTGGCCCAGGTTGGAGTGCAGTGGCAGGATCACAGCTCACAACAGCCTCAAACTCTTGGGTTCAACTGATCCTTCCCCCCTCATCCTCCCAAGGAGTTGGGACTACAGGCGTATGCCACTGCACGTTTCTAATGTCTTGACTTTTTGTAGAGATGATGTCTTGCTATGTTGCCTAGGCCAATCTCGAGCTCCTAGGTGCATGCAGTCCTCCCGGCTTGGCCTCCCAAAGTGGTGGGATTACAGGCATGAGCCACCATGCCCCACTTCTTTTAAAAATTTAATTTAAAAGCATGCCCTATAAGTTTATTTCTGCTTGTCTATACTTTTATTAATTATAGAGTGATAGAAATTTTGAAGACTAATTGCTTGTGGTCTTTATTGAAGTTATAATTTGGCAAACTGGCTGATAAGTCCAAAACACTATAAAAGCCAAAAAATATCATAGCATTTAATAAGGGGTGTACACAACCGGGCTTGGTGGCTCAGCCTGTAATCCCGCGCCTTTGGGAGACTGAGGTGAGTGGATTGCCTGAGCCCACGGGTTCAAGACCCGCCTGGGCAACTTGGCGAGACCTCATCTCTACAATAAATCAAAAAATCAGCCGGGCGTGGTAGCGCATGCCTGTAATTCCGGCTACTCGGAAGACTGAGGCGGAAGGATCGCCGGAGCCCAGCAGGTTGAGGCTGCGGTGGCCGGGAGTGGCCACTGCACTCCAGTCTGGGTGACAGAGTGAGACTCCCACTCAAAAAAAAAAATAAGGGATGTACAAGCAGCAACCTGTGAGCAAAAAGGGTGCTAGAGCTACGGAAAGGCTCAAATTGCTGCTTTGAGTGCCTTGGTTTATGATTCGAGTCATTTAGTGACTTCTGGGAGCTTTGATGAAAAGGGGACATGGTCAGGCAGTTCTCTGCTGATGCAGAGCTCTCTCCTAGACTTCTCTGAAGATTATATGCCACATAAGTGGCAGTCCTCACCCTCACAGTATAATTAGAAATATAGAATTAACATATTTGGTAAAGAGAAAAGCATACAAAGCAATTTGCATGCAAGTAAAAAGAATATGGTGCAATGGAGTGCTGTGTATGTAAATTACCTTTCAGCCTTACCTCTCACAACATGATTACCTATTTCCCAAACACAACTTCAGACTTTCCACCTAGGCTTGTCCATAATCTATTCCTTTATTCTAGATGTTCCCTGTGTTTCCCCCCAGGTTTGTGCCTGGGTGCATAAAAACTAGTGCTGTTTCCGAAAAGTGATCTTTCCATGACTGGGCCTTTACCTCCTCTGGAAGCCAGTGTGAGGCTCACTTCTGTTAGCCAGAAGCATCCTGTCTGTGATCATGTTTCACGTCAGAGTTCCACAAGAGTCACAGGGTTTCTCTCCTCCATGAGATGGCCTAGTCTTACTTTGTTGTTGGGTTTTTTTTGGGTTTTTTTTGAATAGGAGTCTCTGTTTCCCAGGCTGGAGTGCAGTGGCACAATCACGGCCACCCCAGCGTCAACTCGCTGCACTCAGGTGATCCTTCCACCCCAGCCTTCCAAGTAGCTGGAACCACAGGTGTGCGCCATCACACCCAGATAATTTTTTTATTTATTGTAGAAACGAGGTCTCGCCAAGTTGCCCAGGCTGATCTTGAACCCCTGGGCTCAGACAGTCTTCCCACCTCTGCCTCCCTGCGTGGCCTGAGGTGGCCTCGTCTTGCTTTGTCTTTCAGCCTTCTCAACTTCCTTGCCACCTTCCCATTTTACAGTGATTTCCTTCTTTACCATTTTTATTTCTCCAGCACCTTCTCTTGTAGGGCTTTATAAATATCAGTGGGATTGAATAGATTCTGGAAAATAAAGAAATGAGCTGAGCTGGTGTGGTGGCATGTACCAGCTACTCAAGAGGCTGAGGTCGGAGGATCACTTGAGCCCAGGAGTTGTAGTTCAGCCTGGGCAACATAGCGAGACTATGTCTTTAAGAATAGGAAAGAAAAATAAAAATACATAAATGATGCCAGGTAGATACCCGAGTTTGAAAATGTGCTGGTGCCCTGAATTGGTGTAGTCTGAGGGGAAAGGGCTGTGGTGCACTATATGTGAGGAATGGTGGCAGTAGAGGATTCAGAAGCCAAAGGAATTTGACAGGGATGTCTTTCTGGAAGGGGTGATTTTGTACTCAGAAAAGTGCAATTTGCTGAGGAGGAAGTTTAGAAGGCATTGCAGATTGAAAGAATGAGTGCCTGAGAGGTAGAAAAGCACAGGTTAGGAACAGAAAATCTATTTTGTTGTATTATCAGTTCTAAGAAGTATTTTTCTTTTAGGGAGAAAAAGTGGGTGACTGTGGGTGACACGTCCCTGAGGATATTTAAGTGGGTTCCTGTGACAGACAGCAAGGAGGTAAGTGTGGAAGAAACTCAGAACAACAAAAAGGTACCGTTTTCTTCGTTGTTTTTCTTTAATTGCCTCTTAATGAAAGGATTTCATTTCCCCAGAACTGAGTTGAAAATACTTCAAGGCAGCCTCTGCCGCTGGTGCTTGCAAGGCCGCTGTTGTGTCCCGCCTTCATTCCTTTCCCTTAATCCAAGCTGCTTTCCCAGGGCTTGGCAGACTATAACTGAGGCCTGCTTCCTTCGTTTGTCAGTGTAGTTGTATTGGAACACAACTGTGCTGACCGTTTCCTGACTGTCTGTGCTGCTTTTGAATTGCGGTGGCAGAGTTGAGTAGTTGGCATAAGGCCTAATGGCTCACAAAGCCTAAAATCTTTCTTGTCTGGCTCTTCAAGAAAATGTTTGCTGCCACAGGCACTCTCACTATTGTCCTGCCTGTGGTGCCCTTTACAGCATGTCTTTCCCTTAATAAATCTATCTTTCTTCAAAAAAAAAAAGAAAGAAAGAAAAAGTGTACTGACACCTGCTCTTATCAGTTTAGCCACCCCCTGTATTATATGTATATGCTTTTCTGATTCTGATATATGCATTTCTGATTAATCTTCTAGGGGTTTATTTGGATACCTATGTTGTATTCTTGAAAAACACATAGCATTGTGTATTTTCTTTTTAAACTTGCATACATAGCATTGTGCTACAAACCTCTATTTCTTCTCTTATTCAACCTTGATTTTGAGAGGTCTCCATGTGTCTAAATATGGAGTTATTACCTTTGACTCATGCATTGTATTTTCTTATTTGCAGTGACCATCTTTATACGTTTCCAGATTGTTTCTTTTTTCCTAATTGTTTTTTAAGTTTTCAAATATAAAACACATACAGTAAAGTATATAAAGCAGAAGTATACAGTATATGAATAAATATGAAGCTAATACCCTTGTAAAAACCACCCAGACTGAAAAATAGGGGGCATTGCCAGCTCCCCAGAAGTTCTCTATGCAGCTCTTCTCAACATCCCCCTCCTGTCCTCTACAGGCAGTGACTCTCCTTTTGCTTTTCTTACTACTTCTCTAGTCATTTATATATATTTTTCTTTTTTGGAGGTGGCAGTCTTGCTATGTGGTCCAGCCTGGATCAAACTCCTGAGCTCAAGTGATCCTTGGCTTCCCAAGTAGCTGGGCCTACAGGCATGCACCCTTGTGCCCAGCTCTAACATTTTTAACTTTATAGAAACAGCATGATAAAGTATCTGTTTTTGTGTGTCTTACTTCTTTTGCTCAGCATTATGTTTGTAAAATTCATCCATGTTGTCTTTGAGCTATTTGTTCCTTTTTGTTGATATATGTGTTTAAGACACTTAAGACATTAAATTATAATGAAAAAGATTTTGTCTACATTAAAATTAAAAATTATGTATACATCACAAAGAGTGCAAAAACACATCACAAAGGAGAGAAGACATGGATAGCATTTAATCAATCAAGAACTTACTGCTGTATATTCATTATATGACCATAGCATGATTTATCTTTCTGATTCTTCTGTAGATGGATATTGGAGTTGTTCCCAGTTTGTGCGTAATAGGAACAATGCCCTTGTGAATATTCTTGTTTCATATCTAGGTCAACATGTACATGAGTTTTCCTAGGACATATTCCTAGAAGTGGAATTACTTGATCTTGGAGTGTGTGTATTTTTGACTTATTCTAGCTAATGCTAAACTTTTCCAAAGTGATTGTACCAATTTATATTATCCTATTAGAATCATGAGAGTTGGCAAGGCATGGTGGCTCATGCCTATAATCCCAGCACTTTGGGAGCCCGAGGTGAGAGAATTGTCTGAGCCCAGGAGTTTGAGACGAGCCTGGGCAACTTGACGAGACTTCATCTCTACAATAATTCAAAAAATAAGCTGAGCACATGACTGTACTCCCAGCCATTCGGGAGGCTGAGGCGGAAGGATTGCCTGAGCCCGGCAGGCTTGAGGCTGTGGTGGCTGAGAATGTGCCACCGCACTCCAACCTGGGCAATAGAGTGAGACTCCGACTCCAAAAAGCAAAAAAGAAACATGAGAATTCCCCATTATTCCAAATCCTCATCAACACTAGGTAGTGTTTGACTTACAAGTAAAGATATCTCACTGTGGCTTTAATTTGACAGCTGGTTATATAATTGCTAATGAGACTGAGCATCTAGTCAATGTTTATTAGTCTTTTGGATTTCTTCTTTTAGAAAGTGCCCTTTTAAGTCTTTGCCCATTTATCTATTTGGTTGTGACTTTTTCTGATGGCCTATAGAAATTCTCTATGTTCTGGTCATAAGTCCTTTGTTGATTATATGCTAGCCATACTTTTTCTTCTCTGACATGTTTTTGCACTTTCTTTGTGGTGTATATATAATTTTTAATTTTAATGTACACAAAAGAATCTTTTTCATTATAATTTAATGTCATAAATGTCTTAAGAAATTTCTTCCTCCTTTGAGGCCACAAAGGTATTCTTCCAGATAATCTTCTACAGGCTTATTTTTCTATTCTCATTTATGACACACTTGGAGTTGATGTTTGTGTATGTGTGTGAAGTAGGAGCTCATTTCCCTTTTTTCCATGTGACTGTATGTATATTTGTCCCAGTCCCATTTACTGAGAAGACTGCTTGCTTTTTTTGTCATGCTCTATAGAACCACCTTTATCTATTTCTTTTTTTTTTGAGTTGGAATCTCACTCTGTACCCCAGGCTGGAGTGCAATGGCATGCTCATGGCTATAGCAGCCTCCACCTGTGGGACTCAGGCGATCCTTCCACCTCAGCCTTCCAAGTAGCTGGAACTACACATCCGGGTAATTTTTTGATTTATTGTAGAGACGAGGTCTTGCAAAGTTGTCCAGGCTGGTCTTGAACCTCTGGACTCAGGCAGTCCTCTTGCCTAGGCTTCCCAAAGTATACTGGGTTTACAGGCTTGAGCCACTGTGCCTTTTCCTTTTCCTTTCTATTCCTTTTCTTTCTTTCTTTCTTTCTTTCTTTTTTTTTTTTTTTTTTTAGTTAAGAGTCTCACTCTGTAGCCCAGGTTGGAGTGCAGTGGCACACTCACAACCACCGTAGCCTCAACCTGCTGTGTTCAGGCTATCCTTCCCGCCTCTGCCTTCCAAGTAGCTGGAACCACAGGTGTGTGCCGCCACACCCAGCTAATTTTTTTGATTTGTTGTAGATATGAGGTCTCACCAAGTTGCCTAGACTGGTCTCGAACCCCTGGGCTCAGGCAATCCTCTCGCCTTGGCCTCCCAAAGTGCTGGGATTATAGGCGTGATCTACCATGCCCAGCCAGCAGCCTATTTCAAATAGGCTTATTCAAATGTGTCTGTTTCTGAATGTTGCCAGGTAGCTTTTTTACAGTGCAGATGACTACAGTGGCCGTCCCTCATGCCTGTCTCCGTGAGGACTTGTGAGAGGTTCTCTTTGACTTCGATGCCCAGAAGGCTTGCTGTGTTACAGGGTGGACACACTAACTGCTGCAGGTCTTCTAGAATGGTTACACATTGTAGTGCACTTCACCAGTAGTGCTTGAGGGCTTATCTTTTCCCACAGCATCACCAGCATTCGACACTGCCAGTTTCCTAACACCTGCCAGTGTCACAGGTGTAAAGTGGTATCTCTGTTTAATTTGCATTTTGGTGGTTACTAATGAGGTTGATCGTTTCATGCCTTCAGATACTTTTTTATCCATTCAGATTTCCTCTTCTCTGAGTTCTTATATTTTATTCATTTTTATATTAGGTTTCCTATCTTAACCTTTCTGATTTGGGGTTTGATTGATATTCTAGATATAGATCTTTTGTCAGCTTTGTTCATGGCAAATGTTTTTGCCTCATGCCAGCTGTCTGATAACTGTCAGTCATGTCCTTTGATTTTTTTTGTGTCAAATTCGTCATTTTTTTTTCCTTAAGTTTTTTTTTTGAGTTGGAGTCTCACTCTGTCGCCCAGACTGGAGTGCAGTGGCCGCTCCCGGCCACCGCAGCCTCGACCTGCTGGGCTCCGGCGATCCTTCCACCTTAGCCTTCCATGTAACCAGAATCAGGCATGCGCTACCACGCCCGGCTAATTTTTGATTTATTGTAGAGATGAGGTCTCACCAAGTTGCCCAGGCGGGTCTCGAACCCGTGGGCTCAGGCTATTCACTCACCTCAGCCTCCCAAAGGCACGGATTACAGGCTGAGCCACCGAGCCCGGCTTCCTTATAGTTTTTATCCTTTGGGTCTTGGTGTTTTGTTTTATTTTTGAGTCAGTATCTCACTCTGTCACCCAGGCTAGAGTGCAGTGGCATGCTCATGGCTTACCACAGCCTAAACCTCCTGGGCTCAGGTGGTCCTTCTGCCTCAGCCTCCCGGGTAACTGGGACTACAAATACGGGCCACCATGCCTAACTTATTATTATTATTATTATTTTTGTAGAAACAAGGTCTCGCTGTGTTGCCTAGGCTGGTCTCAAACTCCTGGACTGAAGCAGTCCTCCCTCCCACCTTGGTCTCTCAAAGTGTTAGGATTACAGGTGTGAGCCACCATGCCCAGCCTGATCAACATTTCCAAATGTACTAGTATACAGTCTAGACAACATAGCACGAGCCTATCTCTTCAAAAAAATTACTCAAGTGTGGTGGTATATACCTACAGTCCCAGCTACTCTAGAGGCTGAGGCGGGAGGGTCATTTGCCCCTAAGAGTTTGAGGCTTCAGTGAACTTTGTGCCACTGCACTCCAGCCTGGGCAATAGAGCCTCTTTAAAAAAAAAAAAGTACTAGTTGGGCTCAGCGGCTCAGCCTGTAATCCCGCGCCTTTGGGAGCCTGAGGTGAGTGGATTGCCTGAGCCTGCGTGTTTGAGACCTGCCTGGGCAACTTGGCGAGACCTCATCTCTACAATAAATCAAAAAATTACCGGGCGTGGTAGCGCGCACCTGTAGTTCCAGCTACATGGAAGGCTGAGGCGGAAGAGTCACCGGAGCCCAGCAGGTTGAGGCT